CATCATCATCATCATCATCATCGTCATCGTTATCGTCATCGTCATCGTCATCGTCATCGTCGTCATTGTCATTGTCATTGTCGTCATCGTCATCGTCATCGTCATCGTCATCGCCATCGCCATCGTCATCGTCATCATCATCATCATCATCATCATCATCATCGTCATCGCCATCGTCATCGCCATCGTCATCGTCATCATCATCATCATCATCATCATCATCATCATCATCACCATCATCATCATAACCCCCATCATTCGCACTATCCACGTCATCATCATCATCATCATCAACAACATCATCATCCTCATCGTCATCCTTATCATCATCATACATATGTTGCATTGCCTCGAACATCTTTTATTCTGATTCTGGCTTCCATTTGGGGGGGCGTTTCTTTTTATCTTCATTCTCGTCCTCAGCATCCTCATCATACTCATCATCCCCATCATCCTCAGCATCCTCATCATCCTCATCATCCTCATCATCCTCTTCGTCCTCATCATTGTCGTCATCAACTCATTCCTGTTACCATCACTTTCGGCATCCTCAATTTCCTTCATCGTTCTGGTCAGCAACCTCATCAACATCAAAAGATTGGCACTGTTTGTGACTTGCAGCAACTCCAAAAAACCGCGTGAGACCGTTGCCGCATTCCGACTTCACCTTGCTAATCCCCCTTTCGATTACCACCCTACCCCAGCCCTGCTAGCTTTCGTACCTGGCCTCAAATTTGCTAAAGCTCTGTCTGCATCTTTCCAGCACTGTGGCTTGGCCAGGCCCAACTGTTGGGTACGGCCCTCACTTTCCTCTACCGTCGGGCACAGCAGAGCCTTGGTAAAATTGACCCAGTTTAGAGAACTACTGGGACCACTAGGATTGGGATCTGCCAAACAACCAACTTCTAGGATTGGGAGAGGCTGGGCAACTGATCACAGTACGGAACCATGTGTGGTGTTGCTACACTGCTACACTGGCTACACTTTCACTGGTTTTAAGAACAATGCATTTGCTTCTCTCCATGCATCTTTGTGGACCATCACTGACAATCAACAGCCTCAGGAAGGAAATATTGGAAGCTGCACGACCAATTTTGGCGATCTACGAGCAGGTACTGTAGGGCTGGAAAACCGTTGATGTTCTGAACCGGTTGGCCTACACCAGGTATTGCAGTTTAGCTCATATCATCAAAGCTCTGGGCATGGTTTCCTGCCATTAAGATATCAAAAGAATTCAAAAGAATATGTTTTCTTTCGGCCAGTACTTGTAGGGATGATTCAAGATGATTCAAGGCTGAATACACTGAAATTGCTGGGCTTCTAGACTTGGTGTCTCGCAGCCAGTTCTGTGTCAATGGTAGGGATTTCATTCCGGTGCAGCAAACCTGGGGAAAATTGAATCTGATAGATCTGAGGTGCATACTTCCCACAGGATTGGAGTGTTTGCAATTGACGCGCCATGAATATGGTTGAAGCAACCAATGACCCAAACCAAATTGCGGGTCTCAGCCAGTTGGCCATCGTGGCCATTGCCACTGCTTTGCTAGGAAGCTGTACATGGTGTGGCTGAGAACCAGCGCATCAAGAAACTGGACAAAGTCATGGGCAGGACATGACCTACTACAGCCGTTGTGTAGAGCATTTTTGCCACCAGTGGTCGAATTGGAAAGTTGGTCAGAAAGAGGGTTTATTCGCAGTTGGATTGAGCCTTGGAAGAGACCCGGTTTGCTGCGGTGCGTATTAAGTAGCACTGAAGGGGAAATCTTTGGTGGCACTGTTCTGATTTGAATCCTGGTTCAAAGTTGCTGCTGTTGCGAGTATTCAGGATTGACAACTACAGTAACTCTCCTTCAATCTTGCACAACTACTGGTTTTGGATTCACTTTGCGGGACGCGGAAGGATGTCTTTTGGTGCCCTGTTGAGCCTTTCATCCCATCGACTTGGAGAAGACTTTCACCGCCGTGTCACAGAGGCAGTTGGGACCTGGAGTGATGAAGTGGCTGGGGACATGCTGGGACAAGAAATTGGATGAAATTGGAGGATGCTGACTGGAATATGCTGGAAGTGTATGGAAGTGTTGTGTGGCTGGCCCATGTTGGCCCCATGGTTTTAAATCAATGGTGCTGGTGATTTCACCTCTTTCCATTTCTCTTTCTGGTTGAGAATAATATGTTGGTTGACTAGCACATGGACAAGAACTCCATTAGAACTCCATTAGTCTATGCCGGGAGCTCCCAGTACATCACACTTAGTGTGCTGATTCAATCTGTTACTTAGCGCTGATTCGCTGCAAAGGCTGCCATCTTGCCACAGCCCTCATTTCCGCATCTTTCCGCCAGGCGGAAGAAACTTTGCGCTTTGTCGCTGGACTGCAGTGACCCAAAATAGGGTCCCGAGATGTCCCCAAATTCATTGGCCTGTTACAGGTGATTAGTGTGTTCCCCCACTGGCCGTAATCCTGTCTGACAATAGTTTGGCTTTGATTGGGGATCTCGTGGTAACCAAGGCACTTCAAAATGCGGAGGACGGAAGATTTGTCTTGAGCTGGGCACATTTGGGTAGGTAGCAACAAACAGATTTACTGTCCTAGGTTGACTCAATGGTTGCACTATGTTGCACTTGATATTATTCAGTGGTAGAGAATTGCATCCTTGTTCATCGCTTGAAATGAAATTGCCTTCAGATATCAACTTTCCCGGTCGACTGTAGAATAGAAATGTAATGAACTGTAATCATCATCCCACTTTCCCGCGCTTTCCCGTGAGGACTGAGGTGCATGGACTGGCGTGAGAATTCAGGTGTTTCTGCGACTTAGATCAAAATGGTGGCGACGATTTAAATCTTTGTCTATCTTTGTTTGACAGACATCCTGATGTTTGCACAGAAGGGCCTTTAGACATTACTGTGACATATTGTAACACCTGTCTGGTCTAAGGCTGGGACTGTTGTTTTTTGGGCCAAAGTGAGAATTTGAGCGTTCATGGTGTGGGCTATTCAACACACTCACCCGTGATCCTGGTCCCAACCACTTTTCACGGGGCATAAATTCCTTTGAACAACGCTCCACAGCATAAACTCACGCAGTAAAGTCATGTAAAGATAGTGGCTGGGCCAGACACTAAGGACCCATGACACAACTTGGTTTGACCATGTTTGACCCAAGTCAACATTGACCCCGAACCCACAATTACCTTAAAAACCCTTAAAGGCTCCAACAGTTTCCGCGCTTCTCGCCAAGGAGTAATATCAGTAACAGCTGGACCCGGAAAGTTGCGGGCTGCATGTAGGGCGCATGGAGGCGCTCCAAGTCTTCTGGCTTGGGCAGTGTGAAAGTGTGTTTGGACACGCCATGACACGCCAATGACACGCCACAAGTGCTCGAATTCCTTGACCTACACTTCTTCGGAATCTCTGGGAGAATCCGACAGCATCCAAGAGCCATTGCTGCCATTCGGCATATGAAGCATGTGTGATGAACATGGGTAAAGGAGCTCAACCTTGGCTTGCAGAGCTTTGCTCATCACAATGCAGGGAGAGGAGAATCTGCACGTTAATTACTGAGGTAGGGTTGCTTGGACTAGTGACCAATGGCTTTGCCACTAGATTTCCAGGACTCGTTTAGTGTGGTAGATCCACTGAAATCGGAGCTTATTCCTGGTACTGGTTGAAATTAGCTCCTCCATCTGGCTCTTGGCTTATTTGAACTGCCCAACACCCTCCAAGGTTTTCTTTGTGATAGGTGAACTAGCTTGTGGAATAATATGATGAAATAATTTCAGCTTCCCTGTCGACCTGCTACAAAGGCACTTTTTTTGGCTTGCGGGATCTTGTCGCTCTGTCATGTCACCATGTCACCCCATTTTGGAATCGTGGCTAGTGCACAAAATCATGCAGGGTAACGGCCATGTGGAACTGGAGTTTACCCGAACCCACACATACCAAACGATTTGGCCAAGTTGTCATAGGTAAATATCTGAATATATCTGAAATATCTGAATGTGCTCTTGGCTTTACATTTGATTGAATGCATCGAGATAGATCCCAGAGTTCCTTGAGGACGCATCCTGGAGGATCAAAGTGTAGATTTTTTTTAGGCGAGTCTTTTTTTTGCGCACGCTCAAGATCAGTCATCGCGTCCGAGTTCACGAGGCTTCCATGATCTTCCACGTACCATTTATCTATATTTGTTTAATTTTGTCTATATGTTTTACATAAGAGATGTTAAGAGGTTTAACGATCCGTGTGCAGGTGGACTTTGCTAGAGAACTGCACAATGGCCTGATTTGAGGTTAGACCCATTTATATAATCCCTTTTATATAGAAACATTTCGGAACCATATGTATTGGTTTCATATGGTTTTATTGTTACATTGTTGGTGTTTTTTTCGCAAACTTCAGGTGCCTGACCCCATCTAATTTGGTTTTCCCTAGCATGTGGGCTGTACACCAAGGATGAAAGAACACGCATTGTCGGCCACTCTTGTTAATGAGCAAACAGTGCGGATGAAGATGTATGATTTTGTTCTTTTGTGGGAACACGAAGACTGGTCTTTGAACATTTTGCAGCAGGTGCCGAGTCGCATGTTCAACATCGTTGAACGCATTCCTTTGTTCTGTGTTGATTGTGCAGTCAATGACCTTGCTAGATAGCGACTTTCCTTCTCATGTCGACTGCAAGAGGAGTATTTTCACGAAGGAAAATGAGTTTCACTCCTACAATCTCCGGTCAAGAACTAGCCTGGATTTTTCTCAGCGGTGGATCCAGTTTTGCCCAACAATTTCCCCATAATTGCAACATCTTTGAACATTTTTTAACATTTGCAACAGAAGAACATAGTAAGAACAAGAACTTCCAGTGATTTGCTAAGAATAGCTTTTACGACTTGGCCTGTCGCCGGCGTTGCCGGGCGCAAGATTGCATTCGCCAATTTGCTGCTGGCGGTACCATGACCACCGTGGATCATGACTACCGAATGGCCGGTCCAAATGGCCCCAGTGGCACCCGGAGTTCGCACGCGAATTCGTTGCACGAGCTCAACACCTCTGCGACGAGCTGACGACAACTGGCGGTTCACTGCGGTTGCAAACACATTTGGCCGGTGAACCATCAGCATGTCGACTTGATTTCAACGGGCGCCATTTACCACTCACTGGAAGTGAAACAAGATTCCTCCTGGTGGGAAAGGTTCATGTGCCAGTCCTCGTTGTCCATCGCTGTCCCTCCTGGCGTTTTTGGTACGAAGTTTCAACGTATGATGGATGTGCAGGAAGACCGCTGAACTTGTTCGGCTCACACACTCTGAACTACCAATTAGACAGCGTGATGTATATACAGAGTTCTTGGAGGTTCTACCGTTCCAAAGTACATCTCCAACAGGCTTGTACTTTTGACATCTTGTCAATCCTTTAGCTTTTCGGAGTAACGGCTTCTCGTCTCAATTCTATCAGAGGATTTAGCTGATATAGGTAGTTACCTTTCCATTTTTCCTAATTCACGCTGTTCACAACATCGACACATTCAAATGCTAATCATACTGTATATCACAGGGATCCATATCATCAGACTCAATCAATTGCTCATGAAGTCCGGTACACCCAAAAAGGACGCCGCACAACCCTCTTTGCTGATATTGGAGACAGGTAGAGTCTGGATCAAATGCCAAGATTTGGAATCATAAGAAGAATCAAGATCTATTTGCCAGTCAACGCCATGATTCAAAAAGGAACAATGTGTTGAGGTGTATCCGCATTTTGTCTTGCCGTGCAGTTATTTGCAGTCAGTTGCAACCTGAAGAATAGCAAGTCTGAGTTGCACAGGGTTGCACAGCTGTCAATCACACACTCGGCCGGACAAGTTCTCCTATAGATCTTCTGCCCTTCATGGCAAAGTGCTTGGCTTGCCGAGCAATCGGAAGGATGAAATATCAAAATAAAGTTGGAGAAGTTGATCCACCAAAAGTAGCGAGACTGATGTGTCCATTCTGTGCAAAGACGGTTCAAGCCATACTCGATTCATTGAGTATCAAGCCATCAGAAACGTAGTGCCTCCCATGCACCTCTGAATTCTCTGGCCAGAGCTTTCCTGTTTCTCCAGTTTAATCGCGAGCTACTGTCGCATTGAGGACACTTTCCTGCATATACTGGCATCACACAATTTTGCCTTCTTTCAGGCCCCAATTAAGACGCAGATGTACATTGTCTTTGGAGAACGGTCGCTCACATGCTGATACGTCAAATTCTCATTACTCTTTATCCAAGATAGACATCTTCCAAAACTCGAAACCAAGAAGACATGGGCAAATGGGGTTCCTGAATCTGTAGGAGGCTACTTCACTCATGATACTCAACTACGTACCAAATTCTTGAATGACCTTTGAGTATCTTTGAGTGTCGGGGGTGGCAAGCAAGCAACATGTATTAGCGGTAGGCCGTTGTCGGACCGCAGTCAGATTTCCTTCCGAGTGGGGGTCATGTCTCCACATATCTCCACGGGGATCCAGCGAAAGGCCTTCATTCTATGATTCTATGAGCTGAGATCGCTTGCGGAAAGCGTTGCGTCTCGGGCCGCCGGCTACACCATCCTTCAGGTTTCGCTGATGCTGTCGGTTGATAGCAAAGCAGAAAGAAGTCAAGGCTCCAAAGGGGTGGTTGAACATGGGTGAACATGGGTGAACCAAGCGCATAGTTCAAGTCACTACTGAACTACTGGACATACTCCTGCATCAGTCATTTGGACACCCACTAGTTTACCAATGTTTACCAGAGGTTCCTGATGAATTTATCATTAGAAGCAAGCACATTTGTGGCGTGCTCACTATGGCTATCCACTTTGATTCCATCCTAAAATTTCTGTGTTTTAACGACGACCATTGAAGGGTGTTGCCGCCGGAGTTTGACTGGGAAAGATTGAATGGATGTGGGCATTTCCCTGTATTCTTGGGAAACTGCCTTGTAATTCGGTGTAAGTTTTTCGATGGAACCTTACCTCACCTTTCTATAGCTTCCTGGCATGCGCACGACAGCGATATGCAGCTTGTCGGAAGTTGTCCGTGCTACGGCAGGTTGGCATGGTGCGACTTGCACCTTGAGATTGTCCACGTAGTAACATAGTCAGACATGGTCGGCATTATGCGGCAATTCCATAGTCTCAAAAGTCATTTCCAGCTCACAGTTGTACCGTCAACAACTAGCTTACATATGCTTACATAATGTTACAAATCATATAACATTTCAATACATTTCAAATGGGATTGATAGACACACAGCATCACATATAAGCAAATCCATATTCTATACCCTTGAAATGTAGATGTTGTTGCACGATGGAGGTGAACCGTTAGAATCAATTTTGTGCTTGAGATCCTCCGTGGCTTCCAGCATTTTTGATGCTCACACACACACAAACGTACAAATCATATCAGCAGGTGATGCCAATTTATGCCACAATTCTTCAGACGAGCAAAGCGGACCAATCATTCAGTAAAGCAGGTGAGAATTGGCCTCAAAGTTGTCTTGACATGTATTGCGTTGACATGTCTTGATCATCTACATAGTTCGTTCTGGAAAGCAACATTTATTGTGCAATTTGCGACTATTTGTGGAAGCTCTGCCTCCTGTCATTGCAGTCGCGTAACCTTGCGGCTGTACGGCACATCTTGAACTTTTTGATTGATTGGGTGTGACGGCCATTGCTGTTCGTGCACGTCGAATAAATCTTGGATTTGCTTCTCTGCTCCAGGAGAAGCGACGAGCAGAAGCGCACCCACATCATGCATAGAGTAGTCGTCATTATTTCTCAACTTGGGGTCTTTTCAGCCTCCGTCTCTTGCCCCTACCAGCTGACAAACTGTGTTTGGGAATGAGCTGCGTCCCAGCATTTCTACATCAATCGAATCAAGTTGGATCATGTTTGTTAGAGCAACCCCAACATCACGCCTTCCAAAGCAATTCCTATGAACAGAAAGCCAAGATCGATCCCTACAAAGCTTATAAAATCACGTGGCATCAGCGGCATCAGAATTTGAGCAGTTCAATTTGGCCAAATGTACATGTTTTATATCTTTTTGATCATGAGAATCATCTATCAAAAGTTGTAGGGGCTTGAGGTGTTCACTCTAAGTTGGGCCAGCTACACAGGTTGGTCGCCGAAGTTAACAGGTCCTTATCCAAGCATGGTGGATGCTGACACTTTCGCTTGGAAAACACACAGTCACAGTCATGTCAAAAAGACATGCTCGAGACATCTCCAGATATTTTTGACGACCTATGATGACATGAAGATGACCTCACTTTCTGGAGGACCAAAATCAAAAGACATGAAACAAAAGCAAAAGGGGGCCCCAGAGGACGCGACGTGAACCTTCCAGTACTGTCTCAAGAAGACCATGAGTTATTGAAACTCAACATATGTATGATTGTCTGTGAATGAATATGGTTCGTATATGTTCTAATCATTTCTATATAATCAACCAAATCATCCTGCACGCAACCCAGGGATTTTTCACAGATTTACAGTTTCGTATAGTCTAGAATTTTCTTGGGTTTGCATCCGTATGTAAGTGGAGGCTTCCCTGTGCACTTCCTGCGAGACCACAGACTTACAGCGATTTCGGATGCAAGCGCTTGAAGGGACAAAACGCATTGAGGGAGTGAGTTGTGGTATGGACAGGTGGGATCGTTTCAAATCTCACTACTGTAGATCCACTAGGGCATGAAGTGATGTAAAATGGCGTAAACTTGTGTTGGACGTGGTGTTTCCCTAGTGATTTCACTCCAAACTGTCAATGTCCTGATTCCAATCATTGCATGCAACACCCCACCCTCTCAACAGGCAATCTTGTGCAACGATGCAGAAACATACAGCCAATGGCATAGAGAAACATATGTCCCCGCTTTCACATTTTTTCGGAACATTGGAAGTCCTCGCAAGGTAATGGTGTTGATTGTTGTTGATTGTTGTTGATTTTGATTGTTGTTAAACCTGCACCATCGGCTTGATGGAGTCCTGCTTCCCGTGTTGAAAGTTTTGATTTGTTGGATGTCGGCCACATCTCCATTGCTGAAGCGAAAGCTTTGATTCGGCAAGCTGACACCACTAGACATTACAATCATTTGCTAGCTGACATACTGATGCTCCTTTGCAACTGGATTTCAACGAAAGAAAGACATTGTAAAGTGATGTAAAGTGTGAGGAGGCTAGAAAGTGTGCAGAAACGTTAAACACTTCTATGCAAGTAAAGCGAACATGATAACAATTTTCACTGATTGACAAAGACCAATATACACCCTTCTGCTGGTAACAATCAGGACCTGCGCGTTGGCAACGGTGATTCCTTGTTGGGTTCTCAGCCAGTAGAGTCTACAGGAGGCTCTTGACGTAGATGGACAGTGTCAGCTTTCTGGTTCCTCGAGTAGATATCGAACAATTTTATAGAACGAACGACAGATCTCATTAATTACCAACTTTGCTGATATCACTAATGAGTATCCCATTTAACCCCATTTGAAACCTAATTATATTATATAGTCCTATATAATATGTAATATGATACATGTGACATGTGTTTATCACTTGAATACAAATTAAATCACATGATGCTCTTCTTTTGAATTGACGCTTTTCTTCGACACTGCTCTCGTTCGCAGAGGCATCGCTGCTGCCTGGCGGCACTGGAACCTGGGCCATGTGGCGGATCCAAAGGCAGTGGCTTTTCCATTGGCAGCAGGTGCCCAGGCTGCCCAGGCACTAATGAACCAGGAATAACCAGGCACTTATGAATTCGGGTTTTGATAAAAATCATGATCTTTTCATATCTTTTCCAAAGGTGCATGGTGTGGCGATCAGGGGTAAAGAGCTTTAGTCTATGTATGTCTATGTCGACGAAAACACGATATATGATATATATATATACACCTGGAAAACCATAAAGACAAAAGTTTCTGTCCGTACGGGTTTGGACATTTTTTTTGTCCGTTACGTGTTTTTTTCCAAATACGGCCATGTCCGGCTGCAAACCCTCTACTTACAGGTTAATTTAGTGAACTCTTGGATTTGTCGGACTGGTTCCGACAGTATGAGTGTCTCGTCTAGAGACAGTATTTGGGGCAGTATGTTGACATTTGCTTACTGTTTTTTTTTCAACATGATGTTGAAAAAATACTGGTATTTTATGGGTACATCCAAATTTGGTGGGAAATATGGCAGTATTTGTGGCCAGATTTGGGTGCCCGATCACGACTCCCAATTTGCTCCACTTTGGACTGAAATTCCTCTTTTGGAAACTGTTGAAGGATGTCCGAACACGGTGTTGTCAAAGGATTTGAACAACCCTTCACAATCAAAAACCAAAATACGCAATTGAACAAAAAAAACGTCCGTTACGGGTAAAACCCATAATAGACAAACAAAAATGTCCATACGGTTTTCCAGGTATATATATATATTATAATTATATAATAATGTTATACACATATTTTTTACTGATATGATATAACTAATAAATTGCTAGAAAGCTATTATGCTTAATTAACATGTTTTTTGGGGCTGGGTACCCCCGGAGGCACTTTTCGTGGGGACAGAGGTGGTGCTTGGGCTGGTGTCTAGAGGGTGGCCGCAAAAGTGGTTGGCTTTTCTGGGTCAAGGTAGTGGTGTCAAAGCCGGTGCTCCAACGAACGTTTCGTATTTCTTTGAATCCATATTCACTTTTTCTGGGGCCAAGTGTACCCGCCATTCAATGCTGATGTTCGGGCCAGGGTTCTTATAGGGCAGGCTCAGGGATGTGAATATTAATGTGGTGCAAGAAGCGGTGCTGGATAAGATGGACGGCTTTCCGTTCTAAAAGAGGTGTGCGGTAAGCGGGCTGGATCAGTCTCAGAACAGGATCACAACCGCATTGGAACCAGATTGGACCGGGATCGGAACTGGATCGGAAACCGGGTCGGAACCGGATCCGATCCGGTTCGATCCAGTTCTGATCCGGTTCCAATCCGGTCCGGTTGCAGGTGTGGTTCCGGTCCGGACGCCTGACAAGGGGGATGCTGAGCACTACCTAGGCACCACCGATCCACCCACAAGTCGCTTATAGCTGCGACCAAATCCCACCGCAGTTTGAGCACCACTGGTTGCACCGCCACATAGGCCCCCCCTCCTGCCCAGCAAACAGGGGGTATGTTAAGCATGATGGGGTTTTATCAACTAATGAATAAATAAATGAATGAATGAATGAATAGATACATATCTATTATAACTGTGCATGCTTTTGATAGATAGTATTGTACTGAGCCATTGTATGTATGATCTACAAGTCTGGGGTCGGAGTTGTGTTCCTTGCAGCCAAGACAGCAGTCGGTCGAGGTGCCGTGTTCGGAAGCATCGGAGCTGGGCAGTTCTTAGTCGCTGGTCTGACGACCATGGACCAATGGATGGCCGTGGTCATGGCTGGATGAAGAAATGGAGGTTTCCATAAATGGGGGTGCCACAGAATGGATGGTTGATAATGGAACTTAAAATGGATGATATAGGAGTTCTCCCCATTTTAGGAAACAACCGAATATGAACAACCAAGGAATTTGTGAATCATCGCAGTTCCGATGAGTAGCAACTTCTGATTTCCAGTTATGCACAGCCAGCCCTGTTGATGAAAGGAATCCTGCAGTGCAATTTGGAAAGTCGAAGCAAAACACCTGATGAAGGACAGTGAACAAAACTTGGACATGCATTCAAGCAAAAGACCAAACCACCATCCGGTGGATGAAAAGATTGACAATCATGACATTTTGGTTTCAATGATCGCAGGCAACCTTTGTGATTTATGGTGAATTGACATACTGTATTCTGTTGGTGCATGGGTCAATTTGGTGCAGCGGTTCAGCACTAGCAAGTGTTGACTTCATTGAAACAATATGAGAGAAAAAAAGTGAATCAGACAGATATTGTGGAGTTCTTTGATGTCTGGAGCCGGGCGGAATTTTGAATCTGACCAAGGGAGACATACCGCCAGACAGAGAAACTCGCTTGGGGCTTTCGGCACGACAGCTCAGCTCCGGAGTGGTGAAACATTTGTTGTACCCTCTGGTAATTTAACGTAGCTATTGAAAATGACCATTTATAGTGGATTTTCCCATTAAAAATGGTGATTTTCCATAGTTATGTTAGTTTACCAGAGGGTAACCATTTACAATCGAACCGAATGTTCTTGGCGAGTTTCTAGCACTTTTTGGACTGTTTTTCACATTTGTCTCAAATGATTTAAGGCGAAAGGCAGGGTTCCTGACAGCATGGATTACCTTTTTGTTTCAAGAATTCCGCACTTTTGAGTCAGGAATCAGGAAAGAAAAAATGAAACGATCCCCCAGGGCCCCATGATCCACGCAGAACATCAAGCTGAAAGGCCTGGCTAAGATGACTGGTTGAAGAATCATCCTCCCGGAAATAAGGCGATGTTGGTCAAGAAATGTCAAGAACGTTTTTATATGTTATGAATCGACCTGCTGATCATGCAGCTGATACCATATCCCATATTATCCCATCATATTCAATGGGAAACAACCAGGTGGAATCTGCATTCATTGTATTATATACTGTGCTATCTCACGCTTCGGAATTTCAACTCAAATCTCAAGGCGGTAATCTTCGCCTATGGCGCATGGTCTTTCTTGGCCCCACGATGAGCCAGGGAGGTGCACTCTGGTGGATCATGCAATGAGCAGTTGATTTATCCAGCCTCGTTTAGGTGTTGTTGATCGGTATTGCAGTCCACTGGAACTTTGATTGTGCTGTTTGGATCTTTTTGGGAGATAGTAATAGTATGAGACTGAGATAGTTGCATTTCATGATGGTGCTAGATAAAGTCCCTTTCCTTCCGCATGCCAGGTCATATGCGAACCACTTGCCGTTGTGTGCGGCACAAGAGTGCAAAACGTGTGCTGCGTCCTGGTATTTACATGTATTTACTGTAACATGGACCTAATTATGATCTAATGATTCCACAAAATCTGAGGGACGTCGCTGTGCAACAGATGATTTCCAAAGGATCAAAGGGATTTGACTGTTGAGCCATGTTACTGAGCGGCAGCAGCCAGCACTTGTTTGCAGAGCATACCAGAACAGAAATCTCAAACACCTCATCCGACAGAAACCGACTGAATGAACATCTTGTAGGTTGAAAGTCGATGAAAGTCGGACGTCCTGAGTCCAAGTCAGAGATTGAAATTGTAAACAGTGGAAAGTCTTCTGCAAACAATTTCCATATGTTGAGTCATGTTGAGTACTTGGCCGGCCATCTTTGGCCATTCCCATGTTGATTTCCTTTAGAACAGCGACTTGCCACTTCCAGCGCTTTAGCTCTTCACGCCTCATTGTGCAGAGCAATGTGGAATGGCTGAGCCTAATGTGACCAAATGGATCGATCAGGCTGGCCCTGAGTCGGGTAACTATGAGACAGATAAGGCGTCCATGAAACATCTATGAACAATTCTTGTGCAGTGTTATATATAAGATGTTATAAGTTATATAATAATGTTAATTATAGAATTTCAGACTTATCATAATATAGAATTAATATGAATTAATCCATTACAAGTTGAAGTGCGAGACGAGACGCCAAGTCCATGACTGGTCTGTTGGCATCAAAGCAAGGGTCATTTTCCAGATGCTAAGGACAATTTGCCAAATGATAAGCCTAATGAGTGAAAGAAAGGCAAGAACTAGGTACAGTACTGACTCACTTTGTGGTACATGTTGCTCTAGGAGTTTGTCTGGGCAATGTTGGCAAACCATTTCATCTCGCTGCCAAAGTCTTTTCGCACGTGTGCCATGAAGTCTTTTGACAGCCTCTTCTTCATTCCGCTGCAGACGCACTGAGGCATGTAGCCCTAAAGACTACTCGAACTGTTTTACGATATATATCATATATAATATCTGTAACAGTTAAAACGGTTCGGCTTATCCGATGTTTGAATCTAAAGCTATCCCATTATGCCGTTGCCAGCATGTCGAGTGATCAGGCGGTGGCCGTGTAGGAGGTCCACGGGTTCTGGTGCCCCGGCGTTCAGTCGTCAAGCGCCAGCTAGGATTTACTGAGGTCTGAATATCTACACAGTGCTTGATGATGTTTGCATGTCCAAGAGTGGAAGAATACGCTTTGAGATTTGGATATAGATTGCGAAACAATTAAAGCTTTACTATGCTTTACTACATGTCCTTACTCTTTACATCTCTTTACATTGTTTGTGAATTTCTGATGCAACAGAATGCATACCGCAATTCGATTTTTCATGTGCTACTCCAGAGAAGGATTTCTAAGGGTACTTGTACAAGTCAATCACCATGAAGCTGCGATTTTTGGCTGTGGGTGCCTCATGGTGTCTCTATGGGGAAACTCAAACGCATTGTAGGGTTGAATGTTGGAGAAAAACGTTCCAGCTACCTTTTTATGTGACTGATTAAAAAATGTTTTTTAGGTGACTGATTGATTTCTTTTCTGGACCGACTCTTGAAAAACAAGCCTAAAGGCCCAATGGGACATTGGTGATTTCCTCAGATCCGAGCAGAAAATCCACAAGGTCATCAACCTGGAGAAGCGAGAAGATCGAAGACGCTGGATGTGCAGGACGCTGTGCATGGGAAGTTAGCTGCAGTTGGCTGTAGATAAGAGAAGGGTGTATGATGGTGTATACAACTTGGTCTGATGTCATAGTCATATCACAGAAACATACACAAATCATAAACACAGAAAGGGTTGAAGCTGAAAAAGCGCAGGAGTTGCTTGCCTGCCTTCAGTGAGGCAGGTGCCGATGTCTCCTTGTTGCAGGCCGTGGATGGTGAGGCCGGAAGGAGGGCTAAGCCGCTACAAATTTGACGGAAGTCTTTTGTCTCAAACCGCTCATAGCTAGGTGGGAAATGGTGAGAATATGGTGAGAATATGGTGAGAATATGGACCAATGATGGTTGATGAAGATGATGACGACGACAGAACATGATGTGGAACATGGTGGAACTTCTGGTGGAACCCATTTTTGTTGCAAGAATGCAAGACAAGATTGCTGGACCTGTGGGAGTTCCTCACTGAAAAGCTGGCTGGTAGCCTGGTACGATGATGTGTTTTGGGCGTTGGCTAACTAGCACCTGTTCAGGAGGTGGAAGCACCCTTGGCGCCATGGTGGCCAATGGATGAAGCCGGCTTGGAGGCGCGGACGTTGAGAGATGTTGAAAGCTTTAAGGGAAAGATATGGAAAGATGATAAGAGATACTGAGAACATCTGAGAACCAGAAAACACTGTATTGGATTATTGGACAGTAAATGAACAATAATGAAAAAAATATTGAGCATGATATCCACAAGATCTGGATGTCAATTAATGGGAACAACTTGCTTTGATGGACTTGTGGCTCGTCGACAGCTCTTCAAGGTAGTGTCCTAAATTGCATGCTGACAGACATCCAGCAAAAGACATTGGCTGATTCCGTGAAGTGCAGATATATGATATATTGGATATAATAAGGAGACTAGCATCGCCTTGCGTGAGTTGAAGAATGAGTGATGAGGAACCTGAAGTATTGAACTGCTGTGTCGAGCCTCAACACAGGACGGATTAAAATGTTGTGCTATGCTATACTTGTCCTATCTTGTCCTGTCGTCCTACCATTGTACGGCATGGTTGTCGATGTCGCCAAGTGCTTTTTGAGGCAACGGAAGATCGGTGGAGGGAACTCTTTCCAGATGAACCCTTGGGGCGCGAGGATGGATACTGTAGAGGGAAATGGAGGGGCAACGGAGGTGGCATGATGGATGTTAATGTTCTGCGCAAGTTGTGCAAGTGTGGTAGCGCCGGTAGGCTTCAGGACTGCTTTTGGCAAAATGTCTTGACATGTCTTGACTGAATGGTGTTGGTCTGAGAATCTGAAGCGAGAGGCAGAATCCAATGTACCTTGGACCGATGTTCTCCCATGACCTTGATTGAGAGGCCAGAATCAAAGCGACACAATTGATAGAAGATGATAGAAGTATCCTTTGCTAACTCAATCCAACTCAGTTGAGTCATCCATCACCTAGCTTACGCACAACTTCCCCATTACCATCATTACCAAATTCTGTGATCTGGAAGATCCAATGCTGTGGCCTGTGCACACCCACTAAATTTCATTTTATATTTTGCAATCGTATGCGTGGTTTCCTTCCTTGTCTGTGTATATAGGTCTCACTTGCAAGAGAGCGGAGCCTATAAGTCATGGGAGCTTACAACTAGTTCGAAAACATGAATTGAAGCCCACTGTGTGCAAATGCGCTGGCGTCACAGAAAAGTCAGGAATTGCGGCGTTTCTATGGTAGAGCCATTTCTAGCGGCTCGGCTGAAAACATGGGATTTTGATTTGTCCATATTGCAAATGCTATCTGATATCTTCCTCAGAGATCCTCAGAGGCGTTACCTTGTCCCCACTGGTAGCCTGTGACTCTCACGCGCGGGGTCTAGGAAGGGCCAGTCCTTCCAGTTCAATCCTGACAAGGTGAATCAAACAGGTTTAGATCAGTCACTCTTTTGAATTCTCTTGATATCTTTGATGTGAGAATGTGCCTGCAGAATATCCAAGTACGACACTAAGGTGGTGAGAAGGGTGTCTTCCTGAGCCATCGAGCTGCCTGGGAGGCCGCGAAAGGTGCACCGTTCACCCTGAACCTTGGCGGTGGCACAACGGCAGCCACACAGCAGATGTGCGAAATTGTCAGAACGTTGTGGATATAAGTAAGTCATCGGGGCTCATTTAAGATCTCATATGAGTGATGAGTGACGGCCTTTATTTGGTGTAGTGAAGAGTAGTACTGGGGCGTACCTCGGTTGCCGAACATACAATATTTACGTTGCAAAACGAGGTAGGAACACCCCGAGATTGAGGTAGGCAAAACAAGGTCCGGAATTGAAAACAAGGTAGGAACACCCAGTCAATTACTTGATCTACCACATATTGTCCTCGGCTCATTTATATTGCCTTTTTCAGAAATTTCTTTGGTTGCTCAAGCCGAATACACAGAATCAACATGTTTATGGACTTGTTGCACGTTCAGACACAAAGGTTTGAAGGTAATCCATATACTGTATTCCGAGAGGAGAGCACAAGATCGGAAGCTGGTTGATTTGGTTGTAGTTGGTTGGAATTGAATCATGATCTCTTGAGGCTCTATATTAATTATACATGTATTATATGCTATATGATTGTGGTTTTTGTGCCTGTGACTGTGGCGAAAACGGATGTTTCCACAACGCTTGGGGATTTTCCGAGGATCCTCGAAGACGATGCCGTGCCCATGTCTTTTCTGCCACCGCGCCATGGTGAAAACGGGGACCAAGAGGAGCGGTTGTGTTCCTCTGCTTCCCATCACTGGGAGAGGTTGACGTTTTCTTGTGTTGAAGATCCAAAGGCTATCCCAGGCCTCCAAAGTTCTACTAGATCAGATGGTTTCGGATTCCCTTTGCACCAGAACCAATACCGAAGGCATACTCAGAATATCTGTGAATATGTGTGAATCTGAGATATGTTTTTTGACGTTTGGTATCCTGTAGTTTTGCCGAACAGGAGGCCTTCCTCCAACTCTGCTGCGGACGTTGGGCGTCATTGTGGACGGCCTTGTTGGAAGCCACCAAAGCTCTGGAGGCGGAGTTGGACGGCACAAATG